ACGAAGCAACCGTGACGTCAGCCATTGGTTTCAGCATGCCATTTAGGAAGCCTCAATTCTGGCTATTTGAACAGCGCCATTTTGTCATTTTGATACTGGATGTGATTCCTATTGGACAAGAGTGTGAATTGAATATCCAGGGAGGAGCAAGGGGTGGATCTACAGGTGGATCTGACCATATCTGACGAGGACCAGAGAATAGCCACGCTCCTAAAGCATATTCTGGCTTTATTCTTTATTCTAGCCTGTTTGGGACCATAATTTACAAAAACAAACAACATTCTATGTCGAAGGAGACTTGAAAATTGGGATAAATACCATAAAATAATGTGGAAAATCATTATGGAAATAATAAATCAGGTGGGAAAGTAGGGTCATTTTCTCATAGACCTCCATAGCATCAAACTTCTTTCTGCAACCACCGATATCGACATCTGCTGGCCATTAAATAGAATGCAATTTTTTGAGATTTCCGCATTAGTCTCACTTTTCATACCTAGGTACTGCATCCATCTTTTTATGCAGTCTATGATTACACCATATCCTTGTTGTTCTTTCAACCATCTGGGTAATTAAATCATTATCATGCTCAACTCTGGTCATGAGAACTGCTTTGGGTGTCCACGCAACAAAATCGCCATACTCCCTCTGACATGTATACATCTGCATCTGATTCTGAGCACAGAATGGATGGTTGCCATCAAGTTGGTAAGGGTCACTGATAAAGCTTGTATGTTGTTGTAATTCTTTGGAGCATTTTACATCGTTTAGGGAAAATGGACATTTTATCTCTGAAAATCCTTTGCCAGGGCAGGATGCATTCCCAACCAATCCATCGGGGCTAGATGCTAAAAACGGAGTGCCAGTACTAATATGCAGCCCAGTTTCGGTCATTTTCATCTTGCGGTGCAGATTCTGTAATTGCATACCAACACCATAATCCTTGAAAGCTTCATCCTTTTACCTCAGACCGAAGATGGAACTTTTGAGGATGCATGAATGGATGGATTGATAACTTTCTGAATTAGACTGGGTGTTAGCTTCATCTGTGTGCATGAAAGCATGAGCAACAGATGCTGTAATTGGTCCAACCCTAAGCTGGTTCCAACGCAAATAGTCTGACTGCCCAGTGGTTACTTTACTCACATAATCTGCCTGGTCTGGAGTAATGCTTAAAGGAGGACTATCATGGCTGGGAAAGTTGGGTGTTATTATTTCAATATATCATGAAAAAAGCTCCTACTAGTGCATTTTGTTTTCTTTTTATTTTTAATTCAGATTGGCATTTCTTAAATTTTTATGAGCGATTTTACAAAACTAGTGGACTGTGCCATTTTCACCACAGCAGACGAAAATTCACCCTCGATCCGCTTTGAAATGATGGTTTGACTAATCGTGGACGTCAGTGCGGCTGTCAGCGCCATGAATTTCCATTGTCCTGTGGTCCTGCATTGAGATGACCGAGATATTCCCGCTTCCTCAATGGGGCCGACAGACGAGCTTGATTATTACCTTTTTTTACTCCGACACAACTTTAATTTAGAGGTGAACTAACATCAGAGGCCATTTTACATGCTTCCGGAAAGAAAAGTTTCGATCTGAAGTCTGCTAATTACCAGCGAGGCTGGACAGCTGCCATCACCTTGGCTTAATTAGCTCACCTTAAATCAATTCCGTGTACTTTGCCAAACTTGCAATCAAGCCATTTATTCAGCCAACTGACCAATCAAAACCAAAATCAAGCCAATAATGATTTAGAAGAGATAATGAGAAGCAGACAAACCGAACCAGGCTACCGTGCTAGATTTCAAATAATGTCAGTAATCTGAATAAATAGCAGACCTCTGAATTCCACCTCTGAAATGTTTTTAAACAACGGAAAAAACTTTCACGTATTATTAAAAAAGATTTCTTAAAAATAAAATCATGTTAAGATGGCCCTGGTTTTAAGCGTCTAAAAATATCTGTCCTGTAGAAAACATTGTGTGAAGCGCATCAAACACGTGAATGTGAGAGAGAAATTATTTTCGAATTGCAAGCAATTTACAAATGCACCGAAGACAGGGCAAGCACGCTTCAGGCAAATCTGTGCCGCAAATTTAAAAACAGAATTACTTTTATTTAATAATTGAACAAGATTCGCACACAACGGTCAAATGTAATAATCAAGCAAACACATTCAGGCAAACTGCGTGCTGAACTAAGCAAAGTTAAGGTCTTCAAAATCATCCTCCTCTACTCGAAATCAATTGCTTTCACCCCCCTTCCCATTTACTTGGCTCAATTTGCAATCAAACAGTTGATTCGCTCAATGAACAATTTTAAATTGGTTGGTAGTCCAACTTATTTAGATATCCATGTATTCAGACATTTTGACATCACATGCATCATGCACATGAATGCATGTCGCAACCAGCAGTTACGTTATGATCTCAGTGAAGTTCTCATGCCAAAAAACAAAAGTAAATGGCGGCCTCCTGGAAACAGCAATTCCGGCTAATTAATGGTCATTAAAAAGAACAGGGGTATGTATGGACAAAAAATCGACCGTGGATATTATGTTGGAGTTAATTACTATAAGATTAAGTCAAAACGTGTAGGTCAGTATAGTCCTCCTTTAACTTTACCAAACAGACATCAGCAAAGGCTGATTCACCAAGGTTGTCAATACATCTGGGATAGTTTTTGGAAAACGGACCCGTTGATGTTGCTTTGTTTCTCTAAATGGTTCACATGCATTGGTTATTGTGCTCAAGACAATTTGCTTTAAGGAAATGTGTCAGGGAGGCAATAAAAGTACTGTGCTCATCTTTAGTTGATGGCTTGATGAATGGTCTTACTTTGGAAGTGTCCATGCAGCAAGTTTATCTTTGGCTTTTGAGCCAAGATGATGTCCTAGATTTTTGCAGGTTTCACTTTCTTCACAAAACATTTATTCCATTTGCATGGTTCCTCAGTGCAGGCCAACGAGCGAACTTTTTATATTTGCTTGTAATTTGGATGCTTGGTACAACTGTTCCTGGTAACGGTACTTGCTGTTTGTAAAACCTGTATTGCAGGGTAACGTTTGTCTCTGTCGTCGTTATGACCACTCGGTTACCCAGCCCTTCCCCATGGGGATTCACCAGTTCGCCTGCCTAATCACTACAAGGGCTCCCCTAAGGAGTCCTAGGGTTGCTTGTTACAATGCTCTTTATTCTTTCCGTACCATTCTGCCTGCAGTGACTCAGAGAAGATCGCCACTTGAATGGGCCACTGCCACCTAGGAGCAAGCTGGTGTCACCACCTATGACAGCTTCATCTCCCAGTCGCGGGCAGTGCTCGACTATCAAGGGGAAATAGCTGGGGACAGCCTGCAATGCATTCGTTAGGGAAATAGATCTACGCTGGAGTATGCTCTCATATGCCCTCATCTTCAGGGCATACTCCACCGCTTATAGCTAGTTTTTTTCTCGCGGAGGTAAAAGACAGAGGACTCGGCCCCTGCATTGACTACAGAGGGCTGAATGACCTCACCGTGAAATACTGGTACCCCCTCCCTCTGATCCCAAGCACTGTAGAGCAGCTCAGGGGAGCAAAGTATTTTACAAAGCTCGACCTGCGTAGCACTTATAATTTCATCCGTATTCGAGAGGGAGACGAATGGAAGATGGCTTTCAGTACCACCACTGACCACTACGAGTACTGCGTGATGCCATATGGGCTGGTTAACACCCCTTCTGCATTTAAATCCTTCATTTATGACATCCTACGAGACGTGCATGGATGTTTAATCATCGCTTACATAGACAATATACTAGTGTATTCTCCAACATACCCCAAGCATGTTTGTCACGTGAAGAAGGTGCTAGCCCGTCTATTGGATCACCGCTCTACATCAGATCACCATCTCCTTCCTTGAATGCATGATTGGGCCAGAGGGAGTGGCTATGGAAGAGTGGAAGATCAAAGCGGTAGCAGATCGACCAGTTCCACAGAACGTTTGGGAGCGTCAATGCTTCCTGGGGTTTGCCAACGTTTACCGCCGCTTTATTCATAACTTCAGTGTGGTGGCCCAGCCCCTCATGTCACTACTAAAGGGGAAACCCCGAAGGATTGCGTGGAATCCAGAGGCTCAGCACGCCTTTGATGACTTGAATCATCGATTCATGACTGCCCCCATTTTAAAGCTTCTGGATCTGAACAAGCCTTTCACTGTTGAAGTTGACACCTAAAAAGATCCATCCCCAGCCCTGGAGGTCGACTGCGCACCAGCATACCAGGTACACTCCCTCCTTGATGCTGTGGGGGGATAATGCAATACCTGGTGGACTAGGAAGGCTACTGCCCAGAGGAGAGGTGTTGCATTCCTGCTGATGACATCCTGGACCCACACCTCATCTCGGCGTACCACCAGGCCAACCTAGACTGGCCTGCCCCTCGTTGCAGAGGTCGCCCTCCAGGACAAAGGCTCAGCACGGCGGGAGCCTCGCTTCGGGGGGAGGTACTGTAACATCAAGCCCTCAACGCTCCCTATCACCGCAGTACTAATCACTGGCCGCCCTGAGTTCCTGCATTCCCCATTAGTCTCACCTGTTATTAACTTCCCCCTTAGCAATTTTTTTTTTTTTTTAATTTGGCATCTCCAATCCCACCCGAATCTGGAATGCCCAATTGGTGAACTATGTACAAGGCTTGCTCAGATGCGACCCTTTGCTGCCAATTCAGGAGAGTGAAGACAGTTCACGGCTCTCCTCCCGGCACGCGCCTGTCAGCCTGCTGCTTCATATACACTCATTGGTTGAATCTTCGCAAATTCAGGACAAGGCCGGAGGATACCCGTACATGAACATGCTTAGAATCTTCCTGACGAGCGCCCGTCTGGCCAACAGGAGGCACTTGAGCAACGAACAAGGCAACTATTATTTTGCCTTCCCGGCAGTCCCTTCCCAATTTGCAACCCTGTAGCGCAATAGCCAATTGTGCGCTACTCTGAAAAAGCTGCCGACCACTGCCGGCTGGTACAAGGTGGGGATCAAACCCGCAACGTGATAGTCACTTCTGCTTCACAACGCGATGCTTTACCGATTGAGCTACCCGGCAGCTTCACCCCATTAGCAATTTTTAGTCATATATACACCTCTCTCCCTCTGTTCCTTGCAAAGTCTCATTTATAGATACATGCCTTCTAAGTACCAAACAACTTAGTGTTTATGTACATGTATATATATTCTCCTTATTGTATTTCACTATTGTCCACCGTTATTGATCCAGCTTGTTACCCCTGTTCATCCAAAGTTTGACTTACAACCCCAATTCCAAAATAGTTGGGACAAAATATGAATTGTGAATAAAATGAAAATGTCATGATTTTCAGATCACCTGAGCCAATATCGAGGGCTGACTGCAATAAACAGTTATGTCCAATGTAAAACATCTGGACATAATTGTTTGTTGCAGTCAGCCCTCGATATGTTATATACAATGGAACATAGATAACATTTCAAATGTTGAAACTGAGACATTTTACATTTTTATCCACAAAATGAGCTTATTTCAAATTTTCTAGCTGCAACAGGTCTCAAAAATGTTGGGACAAAGGCAAAAAAAAAGGGCTGTAAAAGCAATTAATATAAAGAGAATCAGCTGAAAGAACATTTAGCAAGTAATTAAGTTAACTGGCATCAGGCGTGTAACATGATTGGCTATAAAAGGGATTTCTTAGAGAGGCTGAGTCTCTCAGAAGTAAAGATGGCCAGAGGCTCTCCAACCTGTGAAGGCTTGCGTAAAAAAATTGTGGAATACTTTAAAAACAATGTTCCTCAACTTCAAATTGCAAAGGCTTTGAAGGTCTCATCATCAACAGTGCATAGCATCATCAAAAGATTCAGAGAAACTGGAAAAATCTCTGTGCGTAAGGGACAAAGCCAAAGACCTTTACTGGATGCCTGTGATCTTTGGGCCCTCAGACGCCACTGCATCACTCACTGGCATGATTCTGTCATTGACATTACTAAATGGGCCCAAGAATACTTCAAGAAACCACTGTCTGTAAACACAGTCCGCCGTGCCATCCACACATGCCACCTAAAACTCTATCATGCAAAAAGGAAGCCATTGTTGAGCATGATCCAGAAGTGCCGCCGTGTTCTGTGGGCCAAGGCTGATTAAAAAATTGACTGTAGCAAAATGGCAAAGTGTCCTGCGGTGAGATGAGTCCAAATTTCACATTCTTGTTGGAAATTATGAGCGTTGTGTCCTCCGGGCTAAAGAGGAGAAAGACCACACCTCCTGTTATCAGCATTCAGTTCAAAAGCCAGCATCTCTGATGGTATGGGGATGCATTAGTGCATATGGTGTGGGACACTTGCATGTTTTAAAAAGCACCATGAATGCTGAAAGGTATATAAAGGTTTAAGAGCAACATATGCTTCCCTCCAAATGACATCTATTCCAGGGAAGGCCTTGTGTATTTCAGCAGGACAACGCAAAACCACATACTGCAGCTATGACAACAGCATGGCTTCGTAGTAGAAGAGTCCGTGTGCTGAACTGGCCTGCCTGCAGTCCTGATCTTTCACCGATTAATTATGTGGCCAAATGTTCTCAAACGAAAAGTCCGTCAAAGGAGACCCAAAACTCTCCAGCAGCTGGAAGCCTGTATTAAACAAGAATGGGATCAAATTCCAATGGCTAAACTCAAGAAACTTGTCTCCTCAATGTCCAGACGCCTCCTGTCTGTGTTAAAAAGAGGAGGGGATGCTACACCAAGGTGAACAGGCCCCTGTCCCAACTTTTTTGAGACCTGTAGCAGCCATCAAATTTGAAATGAGCTCATTTTGTGGATAAAATTGTAAAATTTCTCAGTTTCAACATTTGCCATGTTATCTCTGTTCTATTGTGAATAAAATACTGGCTGGTGTAATTTGAAAGTCATTACGTTTAGATTTTATTCACAATTTACACTTTGTCCCAACTATTTCGGAATTGGGGTTGTACTTCAGCAATTATATTAACATCAATATCAAGTTCCGCTTACCTTCGCGTGTGAATCTTGTTATTCCTCTTGTGCTCGCTACACGAGCCCATTCACTCATTACACCTCCAAGACCCACACGCAGGCCCACACACAAACACCTGTCATTGGACTGGCCTATCGGGAATAATTCATTCAATTTTAATTTTCTTTAAGAAAGTTGAGCACAGGTTAGGATTAAATGTGTGACTGCTGAAGAAATTACCCCCCACCCCACAGCTGGATTCTATGGTTCCTTTCCTGCAGTCTTCATTTTCAATTATTACTTTTCTGCTGCCGTAGGTCCAGCCTTAAGGTCAAGGGAATGGCACTGAGGAAAGTTATACAATAACTCTCGCTCTCCACTCACGTCCTCTTTCTGAACATGCGGCACTTTGCTTTGGGAATTTCAGGTATTTTCAGCTTTACAGGCTGATGTGGCTGGATTTTTGAGGATGTCACGTAGATTTCCTTTTTACTGTGCTGATTAGGAGCTAAATTTTTCCTAATCCAGTCCTCAATTTGCGGCATTTGATAGGATGTCTTGATTTTGTTGTTCAGAATTTTCTCCACTTCTGTTTATTTTTTTTCCATTTTACCGTTCCCTCACCTTCTCTTCATATCACTCCCCTTTATCTCTCCTCCTCTACCTTTCTGTCTCCCCTCTCTTTCCAAATCTCACTCATTCACCCTTACCTTTGCTTGGTCCCTCTTCCTCCCTTTCTCTATGTCACACCCTCTGTTCCTCATTCACTCTCTTTCCCCCTCCCTCTGTAATTGCCTGGTCTTGTTGCCCTCTACTTCCTCTCTCATTTCCCGGGTGACTGTAGAAGTCTTGGCAGTTTTGCTGCGGCGGTTACTGTGTTCTGACCCCTGACCTCTGATCGTGTCTTGTCTCAAAAGCTCACAAAAGCACATTATACATCCTTGTGCAACTAGGTGTTGAACAGGGTCCGATATCATAGCCAAGTCTGGTAAAATCCTGGCCCCTGAGTCAGACCCCTTACCCAGTATTCAGAGGAGATTACTTGCCAGTCTGTCCATTTGTTGATGGTGAAACAACCATCACCTTTGTGACTTTAAAGGTGCACTATACAAGTTTGTTTACTTTCTGCGCGATTATATGTTTGTCTCAATTCGCCGACATCTCTCCATGATCCACTAGCTGCCTGCCCCTAAATTCACTGTAAAAAAAACCCGGGCTCTGGAGACCGCACAGGCGTCACAAACTGCAAATAAACACAAGGGGCACAGGCTGTGCCCCATAACATAACAAACCGTCCCGGCCAATCACCGACAGAGTTGACAGTTATGGAAGCATGGGAAGGAGGGAACTATGGGAGGGAGGGGCGGGCTACCTCTGTTTTGTTTGAGTGCGAATGTCAACAGAAGTGAAAGTAAAAAAACTTGCATAGTGCACCTTTAAGGCTGTCATGTGTTAGAGTTGAAGTTTATCTCCCTCCACACAGCTGTAGCCGTATCTCGCCCTACCTCTCCCTCCTGTAGTGTGATAGAGGTGAAGCTTCTTCCTTTCACACTGCTGTCCTGTAGCTTTACATCTCTCTGCTGTAGTGTGATAGAGGTGAAGTTCATCTCGCTGCTGTGCTGTTGCCTTACCTCTCCCAAGTGTTACGAGATAAAGTTGAAGCTCATTCCCTTCACACAGCTATCCTGTAGCCTTACCTCTCCCAAGATTGGTGTGATAGAGGTGAAGCTTATCTCCATCACACAACTTCCTCCAGTATGTGATTGGCTAAGCTGCAGTTTTTTTTGTATTTTATGGCAGAGTAGAACCTAGAGTCCTGTGTCTTCTGATCGATTGTGTTTCAGTGCCCTGTGTATCTTCATTGGCTCAGGTTCTGTTGGTGAAAAAACTCCCAACATGGGAGTTATAAGTAGTTGTAACACCATAAAACAGTTTCCCCTGGCGTCTCACCCTTTCGATCACTGTTAAACACTATGATATTTTGCTCAAATATTCCCACAGTGAGGCATGTTCAGATGCGCTGAGCTCAAACAAACAAGCAGAGGCGCATGATCTGTTCCGTCCTTTGAGAGCTGCGCTGTCTGCATTTCAGTGTGTGCTTTTATGAAATACCTGACGCGAGCTTTACCTTGAGAGAAATGTACATCACTGTTCCTCATTCCTTTCCTTCTCCCAGGTTTTTGAACACTGGGGAACATGGTTTCAGATTCTGGGGTTGTATCTGTGATGAGCTGACAGGGAAGGGCATAAAGGCCAACTGAAGCACTGGTTGAGTTTTGAGCTCTCAGTCGGCTGAAGCGAAAAGTGTCTATACGATCACCCTGAAAGCTGTAAATAACGAGTACCTTGGGGGCACATGTCAGTCACGCTTAGAGTCTCTGCCCAGTCTGCTCGCAATGTCCTCAATTGTCTGTGATATTGATGGCTTACATGGGAATACGCAGAAGAGGCATGGAGAAGAATGAAGTATTCGGGAGGCGGTTTGACCGCAGGACAGGAGCACGTGGGTCCTCCCGCAAACGCCTCAACTCAGAGAAGCTACCGTACTTATTATCCTGCTGCTGCTCCAGTGTAAATACACACAGCGTTTATGTATGTGTGTGCGCACGCGCGCGTGTGTATGTGTTTGTATGTGTGTGTGTGTGTGTGTGTGAGCATACTTGCATGTGTATATTTAAGTGCACATATGTGTGCATGAGGGGGCAACCCCAAATCAGAAAATATTGGGACAGTGTGGTAAATTTGAGTTAAAAGGGACCTATTATGATTTTTTTAAAGTTAGTATATTCTTGGATGTCCAAAAGAAAAGTTTTTAAAATTTATAGCATAAAAAATAAATGAATAAATAAAATGAGTGTTCCATGATTTCGTGGCAATTTGATTTCTGTCATTCCTAAGCCTTGAAGAAAATCTGTGGTTTAGTTTCTTCTTCTACCGCTGATTCGACGATTCCTAAACTGGCTGTTTAATTCACTGTTAATCCCGGTTGGAAATAACTTGCACATGGAGCGGATGGTAATGATGAGACACGTGAAGCACTTTATTAAAAGTTCAGTTGCGTTGGAAAACGGTTGTGCCCACGGGAGAGGTCAGCATCACACA